TGATCAATTTTAACCAGATACGGGCACCGCCAACATTGCGTGACAGGCATCGCGCCATTTTCTGAATCTACAATTCTGCACACTACCACGTTGGTCACAGTCGAAAATACATTCCAAATGCAATCCGCAGCTCACAGGGTCACACCATGCATTCAACTCAGAAGCTGGGCGACGAAACTATATCCAGTCCACAAATGGAGCAAGAATACTTCGGCCACCGTCAGGCAGAAGCAAAAAATTTGCCTCTGCTTCGAACAGCGCCGCTGTCTAGCGTCCATTTTAACCGGAAGTCATCTTACTATTCGATCAGATCCCTTGTCACTCTTCGCTGCACCATTCTCTTCAGACCAGGATCTGTTTGTGCCTTCTCACTGTTTACTCGCTCTCAAAGGCCCCATAAAACATCTAACTTGTCATACATCAGTTTACCACCAGGTGGTGCAGAAACAGCCAGTCCATCTTCATATTCATTTCCAAGTACACTATGATTCAGGAGAGAAAAAAATCTAAAGGATGCAGAGTAACTGGAATCTTTGAGGCAATACTTAAACATAACTAATATAAATATGTTCATTTTCTGAAGTGTAAAGAAGTCTAAATTTTAGATACTGTAATATTTACATCATTTAAGAAAAATCCCAAACATGAAAGTTATTAAGAGAGGCTAAAGATGCTGTGATATCTCTGACATTAACATGACTGCATGACATAGGAGTAAAGCATGGTCAAATACCTCTATGTCGTCTTTGAGGCCGAGATAGGAGACATTATAACTAACCTCTCATGGGAACCATCAGTAGAAGTACCTTGGAGTGGCTGCTGCTTTGGAGGACTGAGCACACATGGGAATTCCCAGTATGCAGTGGTGTTGATTGTGATAACATAACATGATATCAAAAGAATTTTACAATATAGAATGAATTGGGGGACAAAACTGCAAGCTCTACGTGACATAAAATGGCAAAACAGGATGATGTTGATAATGATATTTACCTATATACTGACTTGTAATAGAGCAAACCATACTATTTTAAAAATGTGTTTGTTGATCTGATTGTTGCATTGTTTCTTCAGTTTACAGGTCACTGCTATATCTCAAGCCTGGTTTGCCATTACAGATTCACCTTCTTCATAGTTTTTTCGGCAACCTCATAACCCCATTATTTTTTACTGCATATTTTACTTTTTCATTAATGGTATCGAAGGCTCCCTGATATTTTCTATCCTTAATGTAGTGTTTCCTTGACCTTACTGCTAATTTCTTTGATGGTAACAGTGACTCCCTGACATTTTTCATCCCTTAATGAAGTGTTTCTTTTACTACTTATTTTACTTATTTCATTAATGGTATCAAGGGTCTCTTTCATTTTCCATTTCCTAATGTAATTTTTTTTTAAAGAGCAAGAGCAAATCTATACACAAGCAACATTTTAGGAGTACTATTATACAACAGTGAATGTTGGGAAATGACAGTGGGAATTACACATAAACTTGAGACTTTTCAAAATAAATGTTTAAGGAGAATTCTATGATTATTTTGGCCAAACAAGATCACAAATGAAGAACTGAGGTAAAAAAACAGAATGTGCTTACTGGCAAGTGTTATCAAAGTAAGACGATGGAGATGGCTTGGACATGTTTGCAGAATGCCTTGTGATACTCTGGCAAAAACAGCTCTCCAGTGGACAGCAGATGGGAAAAGGAGATGTAGACGACCTAAGGAAACCTGGAGAAGGACAGTAGAAGGGGAAATGAAGGAATGTAAACTAACATGGAATACCATGGGCAGAAAAGCAGCAGACCGGCAGCAATGGAGATCACTTTTGAATGCCTTAGGTGTCAACAGTGACATGAAAAGGATATAGAATGTAATTTTTCCTTTACGTTACTATATACTTTACTTATTTCTTTAATGGTATCTAGAGCTTAATGATATCATCTAACCCCTAATGTAGTGTTTCCTTTAATTTACTACTTATTCAGTGATTGTATCAAGGACAATTTTTTTTCCATCCTAATGTAGTGTATCAATATGAAGATTTTAAGTTAGCGAGATAAGCAGGCACATTATTAGATTTTTTTTTTACATAGTTTGTAACACATTGTCATTTCATTTTGCAAGGTTGATGGACAGGTGTTAAATTATTTTTTTGACCAATCTATGATTGATTAACATACTGTTGGATGTTAAATTAATCACCGGACTACTGGTGGTTTTGTTGATTTGGGTTTGTGATATGGATGGTTGAACTGTGTTGTATGTGAAAGTCACTGTGGAATGTAAAGAGTTAATTAAGCCATTGGTTTGCATAGCATATGTACACATTGGCATTTATACTGTTTTGACAGGTTGTTAGTGTAGAAATTTTGGGGCCACTTGAAGAGGGCAGAGCGTAATCCACTTGCAGTTGGTGAAACAGAGTTTGCTTGATATTCACGGGTGACTGCAAACACCCCAAGTTGTGTGGGGAATGTGAGATTCACATCTAGCTGACCGTTGTTGGCAGGAGTACATAGTGCTTGAGCCAGTCACTGTCAGTCAGTCTAAGTGTTTAGATGTGCTGTATGTGAATTTTTCAAGTCCCATATGACAGTTTTAACATATTTTATTCTGTTTGATCTTGGAATTTGTCCAGTACATGTGCTGGATCATAACTTGTGTTTTTCTAGAATAGACTTGTGTCGAACATGTGTGTGTGGAGTCAGCAAAGTTGCGACATTAATTTGAAGAAGAAAAAAGTTAAATTAAAATGAATGAAATGTAGGTATCATTGCTTTAATAGGAGAAGTAATGATAAATAAAGGCAAAATAGAAATTGTGTTGATTTTAAATAGACAATAATAAATTATAATTTCAAAATATCAAAATAATTGATTTGGTGTATTCTGTAAAAATTTTACATGAACTGACTTGATCAACGTCTGAATGAACCAGTAAAGAATAATTAAATAGAAAATAAACATGATTTTGAGAGTAGACAATTAGAATAATTTCCTTCGTAAATTAATATTAGAAATATGTACTTGTCATGAACCTGCCCACACGGTGAGAGTTCCTTCCCCTCCCATTAATGCCCCAGTGAGTCGCACGGCCTGTCCTATGTTGTGGAGGTATCATGTGTTCGGTATTTTCAATGGTTTAACTGTTGTCTCTTTTCTCATGTTGTCACCGCTCACTTGTGTGATTATTTCCATGATGTGCTACTTGACAGATGGTTCTTAAGTATCGACATGTTTTTGAATTTCTATGTACCTTGTCAGTGGCTTCTTTTCCGGGGGGGGGGGGGGGGGGGGGGGGGGGGGGGGGGGGACAACTGGCAAGGAATAGAACATAGAAATACAAAAATATCCAAATTTTGATACTCATGAACAGTCATGCCCTTGGCGCTTCTCATTTAGTACTTTTTACTTGTACACAGGCGCCTTAAAGAGACTCATGAAAACACAACCTTCCACAAACATTATATATGGCGAGAAAATGCCATACAAAACTATCTCATAACACCCCCCACAACATAGGACAGGCTTTGTGACCCACGGTAGCATGAATGGGAGAGGAAGGAACTCTCACCATGTGGGCAAGTTCGTGAGAAGTTCCTAGATATAAGCTAAAACATTTACACTCACAACATTGCCCTATAAGAACACAGCATCACAAATGTGATATCTGCTTAGGACAGAACATGGTTTGTAATTATGAAATACAGTGTCTCCTTCATGCAAAAGATTTGGCAGCATTCTGCTTTGCATTAATTGTGACAATGATTTGGCCACTTAGAAAGAAGTGACAAACTACTCAACGTAAAATTACTAGTAAACAGCCAATAAATGCTAGGGGTTTGTCTGCAATGTCGTGTAAAGGATAGGCAACTAACTACCTTAGAGAAATGCATCATGTCTGCTCTGCTTACATCTATGTGTATCAGTGCAACACATGGTGAGCTATTAATTATTTCATATTTGGTCAGAGTATGCAAAAAAAATCTGGCCAAATTTGTTTAATGCAGCAGAGTATATGATGTGTCTTTCAACATCATACACTTATGCCTTTTTCACTGTGATTATTATAGCATATCAGGTTTGTATTTTGAAACCATCTGGACTGAAAGGATTAATAATAAATTTTCAATGCCTTCCAGATATTTATAACGGATCTTAACACAGCCTTCAGAAGAAAAATCTTTCATATTATTAAGTAAATTCTGAACAATTTGCAATGTTTTATCAATGGTGCAACCCCTATCCCCAGTTATACCAAGATAAATCCTCAGTAAAATTCTTAATGCGATTTCATGAGTGACCTTTTCTACCTTAAGCCAGAATCTTCCAGTTTTGTCTAAATTATTCTTCTTTTTCTGTTTGCAGAAGGGTGTACAAGTATTTCTGGCTGAAACTCTGGTTGTTTGTCCTATGTATCATATTCATTATTCCTTACGTCCTTCTTAGGACGTAATTTTTTGTTATTTGAAGCCCCACTCTGGCTTTTGCCAGGGGCCGCAATATAGGCAGGCCATCAAATGGCCAATTGTCTGAACGCGGTTTCTGGGACCTCTCCACGGTGATCCTCATCCGCATGGTGGCACTTTGTATCATCAAGTGTTTATCGCTTGTGTGATGTCCTTGTGGGGTAGAAAGTCAGTCAGTCAGTTGTTTGTCCACTTCTGGACTTTGGTCTTGTTCCTGAACTTGAGTTTTGTGTGCACATCCATTTTACAGATGTGGCTTATTTGTATGCAGACTTTTAGTTCTCCGCCTCTCAAGCAGATGCACCCTGGCTTCAAAGGAAACACTCCTATTAGTTGACTTTCATGGCATGTTTGTTAAGGTGGCACTGGTTCTATTCTTTATTCCCCCCTAAAAAGACATAGGAGGCCCGAGAACCCACATGAGGTGGGTTTGAACCCACGGCTTGACATGGGTCGCCACTCTCAACATTAGATCATTTGTTTTTATTCCTACCCTTCTTAGCTTTCTTACGTTATTTACCAATTGGCCATGAATTAAGTTCTAGAATTCGGTTTGCTTCTCTGAATCCATGGCTTGGCCTGGCTCGTTACACTCAATGGATAATTGATAATGTGGGTCTTCAAATCAGAGACTGGTTTGTGAGACTCCGCACCAATTGTTAAGGAAAGGGGCTTTGCAAGAGACCTTTGAGAGATAGCTGGTGGTGTTATTACAGCATTCTTAGAGTTTCTGAAGAAAGAATTTTGTGCTTCTAAAGAATTACTTGCAGAATCACTAAACAAAGCAGTTGGTATAATTCCAATAGTTATTTCCTTTCCACTTCTAGTCCGTGAATGGTTTTTGCCCTCACTGCATTCCTGAAGCTGTTTTTCTAAATCTGATACTCTCTGCCTCATCTTTGACAAATCCTGGTTTAGCATGAGGATATGGGAATCCTTTTTCCTGGAGCTCACTCTGAGATCATTTAATTGTTTCTTCATCACTTTCATAATGACACTCTGCCACATTGTGCAGCCCAGTGCGCACAGTTTTGACTGGTAACTTCCATCTGCAGAGTTTATTTCTGCCATTGAATTGAAATCTACTGCTTCATTCCCTTGTCTATTGTCCAGAAACCCAAAACGACTCAATATAGTGGTTTTTTCTTCCAACACATTTTCGTACTGTTTGCGAATCTGAACTAAATTCTTGAATTTCATTACAAACTGATCTACACTCTCTTCAAGAGTCAGCTTTTTTATTGTTCTTAGGTCATGCATATCCCTTTCTGTGTATGTTTCTTCAATAGAATGTAAACTGCATAGTCCAGCTTCCATTCTCATACATTCATGCAGCTTCATTGTTAACTCTTGAAGATTGTTTTCTTGCATAAGTATTTTATCATTAACCCGGCGTATCTCATTGTCATTAGCTTCAGTGTAACGAGTCTGGACTTCCAGCAATATCTTGTACTTTTGTTCCATTTCGTTGTAGGTGACTTTAAAATCTGATAGTTTCTTCTTCAAGTCTTCATTCTCCCTCGTTAAAGCATTGATTGTGTCTTCCAACTTTTGTACTGTATCTGCATTCTTCTTGGATTTAATCTGCAGAAGAGAAGTCAGTGTTATGTTATTTATTTGTCATTGTTTAAAGTAAAATTAAGAATAAAATTTCAACTACCCTTGACTTCTTATCAGCTTGAGGTTTTTTTGAGGTTTTGAACAACAGATCAATATCATGGTACACAAATGTAACCCATTAGTGCTCTGTTCTTCTTCTAACTCAAGTCTTGAGTCCAAAGAAGCTCAGCACAGTGCACAGGCTCTGTAGCACCGGCCAGGATCCTGAAATACTTTGGGTAGATTTTTAACTCTAAATTTTGCCCGGGCAGCGCCGTTAGGCTACTCTTTTCAATTTTCAACTGGCGTCTGATCTCACTACCCAGAGACCAGGGGGAATTACTAGAAGTCCAAGTCGACATGAAAAAACTCCAGCCCTTACCGGGGATTGAACTTGGAACCTCTAGCACTCGAGGTGGACATCATGCCTCAAGACCACCAGATTAAAGCTAGAAGTTGATAAATTGGCATTATCATCATCAATATTCATTTTACCGTTAAGCATTATGGAAAGGATTTTTATCATGGTATGGGACGTCGCAGGTCGACCCAGCCTCAAATGGTTACCAGGATGGGCTGTCCTGGGAAAGTAAAGATGGCCGGCGTAATGCTGACCACATTACCCACCGAGTGCCGATTGGTCTGTAAAAATATGGGTGCTCTTCCCATATGCCTGATGCGCCTAAAGGCGTGTAAAGGGATCTTTTTTTTTTTTTTTACTATTATGGGAAGAATCAGTTTGTGATCCATTGCTTGATGGGCAGCAACAGCTTCTCTCAATCCCTGTTGATGTAGAAGCTCTTTAATATCATCAGTCCATCTTCTCCTAGGACAACCTCTTGCTGTAACATCAGATCTTTTCATGTGTAGAGTTGAATTAGTGTCGTTCTTACAGTCTGTCTGATAATAATCATTTTTAACTTTGTCTCCGATTGTTACTTAGGCGGCTTAAAAATCATGGGACTCTCAAACCATGGCGATGGCGAGTGTGACTAGCACGACCTGCTGGCCTTAAAAAAAGCATAACAGTCTCTTGATTTGTTTCCAAGATCAGTTAAGGGCAAGGATGAAGTTCCTCCTCTCCATAGCACAAAGTCTAGGCATTCTGTAGAGGCCATATGTTGCAGATGCATCATGATCCCTTCCTCTACCTGCCTTGTTTACCCCAGAGGAAATGTAACACCAGTACATTTGGAACAAAGCAGGCCGCAGAACCTGCTGGATCAGGAGAGCATTGCCAGCTGTCAACCAAGGCTTAAGACCTGATCTGTCCTGCCATAACATACAGTTTTTAGATTGCATTTCCTCTTCTTATGATAGGGCTAGTATCCTCCCAATGCGCTCGTACGCCTGAAGCCGTTGGCACAATGTGGGATGTCAGGTTTGCTGTACGCCACCTTACTTACATCAAGCGTTATCAAAAGACAAGTAGTTACTGGTTATAGGTAGCTCAGTCATATCTGACCAAGACACGACAAGAAGAGATATACTTATAAAACATACCTCAAATGCATATGCTTGTTCTATCAGTTGCTGCCTTATCTGCATAGTAGTGTCTTTTTGTTTCGTATCTCTTTGGCACAGAATCTTCAGTACTTGAGAGTCGATCTGAAAGATATTAATGTGTGATTTTCACTGGCACTGCAACGGAGAAATTATGGGCGGCTTATTTGCAATGGTTGGAACCTCAACTATTTCTATCAGATGCGATTCGAGCATATCTATCATCATGTAGCAGGTCCTTTGCAGAATGTCGCTCTCATCATGGTCTGCCTAAAAGAAACTCGGTCTCTCGCCAGCTCCCCCACCTCATGTACTTTCATACTCAAGGAGTCACTTGTATCCTGTGTCCATCTTCATGTTGGTCGACCCCTGCCACTCCTTTCTGGTACGATGCCTTCTGCTATTATTTTTTCCAATCCGTCGTGGCGCTTGATATGACCACAATATTTCAGCTTCCGAGACAGGATGCTGTTTATTAGCCAACCTTCCTTGATGACCATATCTATACTTAGTGAAACCAGGTAATGACAGAGCCGACAGATTGGCAAAGAAAGGAGCAACACAAGAACAACCACCTACAACGACAACCCTCCAGACAGCAAAAACACTGATAAGAGCTATAAACAAAGAGACTTGGTTGAACAGATGGGCCATGGGAGACACTGGAAGAGAGGTTTATAGACATATGTCTGGCCCTGATCCTAATGACAGCATTAACCATCTAACAAAAAGGGACCAGGCCACCATCTTCAGACTTAGAACGCAACATACTCCACTCAATGGACACCTAAACAGAATACAGCCACAACACTTCCCAGAGTGCCAGCTATGTAACTACCCCTACGAAACTGTTGAACACCATCTCTTTGAGTGCCCAAAACTCAGTGAGACAAGAAGAACGCTACTCCCTCCGAGACCAGACAAGCGGAACACCTTGTACGGAGGAAAAGAACAGCTTGTGAAAACATGCAAATTCCACTACATGGCATTGGGCCAAAGGGCGAAAGCTCATGCGCCGCTGGATCGATAACAACAACAACAATACTTAGTGAAAATAGGGAGCCACAAAAGACTAACAATTATAATAATTATATTAGCCAAAAACAAAAGAGAAATTGACAAGAGGACGAAAATGGCTGTTTACCGCTCTACCTATGTACCAGTCCTGACCTATGGGTGTGAGTCATGGGCAATGACAACAGCTCACAGAAGCCAGCTGCAGGCCTCGGAAATGAGATATCTGAGAAAGGTGGTCCAAGTGACAAGAAGGGACAAAGTCCGCAATCAAAAAATACGTCAAGATCTTGATACACAGTCCTTACAAACCCGAGTGGATCAGTCACAGTTACGATGGTTTGGACATGTATGCAGAATGGGAGAAAATCGGCCACCATGGCAGGCATGAGAGGCTAAGAACCAGGGAACCAGACCTCTAGGACGACCCAGGGTGCGCTGGGAAGACAACATCCGACAGTCCCTAACTGACAGAGGACTGGAATGGAACAAAGCCAGAAAGAAAACTGCTGATAGAGACGTCTGGCGATCTCTCTGGCAAACCTCTACACCCCAAGGTATAAGAGGAGCGACTAAGTAAAATATTAGCCGAAAACAGTAGCTGTAATAATAAACAACCATTTATGAGCCATTCAGTGTATTCATATTGTGATGAAATTAGTTAAGAATCGCTATCATGTCACTCGGGATGACATTCCCATAAGTGCGCCGACCAAATTTTTGATAACCAGCAGAGTTTCAACACAATGGTGTCAGTATCCAGTCTGTCTTGTTTTTCTTTACAGGCAAACCTCTGCAAGATCTGCTTTTCTCCTTTGACCATCTACCAGTACTTCTTCTGCGTTCCGGCGTGAATCACTTCTCTGTGGCGTTGTTTTGTAGTTTACAGCTAGGCCTGATATATATTTTCTTCTTCTTCGCGTTCACCGGTTGTAAACTCCGGCGGAAAGTTGTGCTTGTTCATCCACTTCAGACTTTAATCTTGTTTCAAATCCTGAGTGTTGCAGACACATCCATTTTACAGATCTGACTTATTGGTATGCAGACTGTTGGTTTCTTGTCTCTCAGGCAGATACACTCCGACTTTGAAGTAAACACCCAATTAGTCCACTCATTCGACATGTTTGTTGGAAAGCCAGTGGGTTTATTCTTCTTTCCCCACAGTGGGGCCCCGGAGCCCACACGGGAAGGTATGATATATGAAACGCATCTGATTTCAGAAAATTCTTAATTAGTCGCCTTTTACAGCATGCTTGTTGAGAAACAGTGGGTCCATCCTTCTCCCACCCCCACCACAAAATGGGTCCATGTAACCCACACAGGGAATCTACACGTACAAGACGTAGTTTTTCATGACCCATTCAGTCACACAGGTCATGTGCCTTCAACATCACACATCCACTCACACAAGACATGTTTCTTCATCACACATTCACTCACACAAGACATGTTTCTTCATCACACATCCACTCACAAAAGACATGTTTCTTCATTGTATTCACTCACACGAGACATGTTTCTTTATCACACATCCACTCACACAAGACATGTTTCTTCATCACACTTCCACTCACAAAAGACATGTTTCTTCATCATACATTCACTCACAAAAGACATGTTTCTTCATCACACATCCACTCACAAAAAACATGTTTCTTCATCACACTTCCACTCACAAAAGACATGTTTCTTCATCACACATCCACTCACAAAAGACATGTTTCGTCATTTGTATCCACTCACACGAGACATGTTTCTTTATCACACATCCACTCTCACAAGACATGTTTCTTCATCACACTTCCACTCACAAAAGACATGTTTCTTCATCACATTTCACTCACAAAAGACATGTTTCTTCATCATACATCCACTCACAAAAGACATGTTTCTTCATCACTCATCCACTCATAAAAGACATGTTTCTTCATTATATCCACTCACAAAAGACATGTTTCTTCATTATATCCACTCACACAAGACATGTTTCTTCATCACACATCCACTTACACAAGACATGTTTCTTTATCACACATTCACTCACACAAGACATGTTTCTTTATCACATATCCACTCACACAAGACATGTTTCTTCATCACATCCACTCACACATGACGTGTACCTTCATCACACATCCACCTATAAAAAGTGATTCTTCTGTGACATACCCACTCATAGTATTTTCTTCTGCATTCACCCTCAAAAGGTTGATTGACACGCTATGTTGTGGTTTACAGCAGCCTGCGACATCTGGTAGTAGTAATTTTAAAAAACATTTCCTGTTCAACCCTCAGGGTTATAACTGGGATATATAGTGTTAGTCGATTTCTCATTTCTCAGAGGCTTATATTTGTTATTTTATATTTATGTATCGCGTATTTATTTAAATGTAAATTGTAATATTTAACATATTGCTTTGGGTTATGATTATGATAGAAACTGTACTATGAATAATTATACAATCTTATTAACATTGTGTCATTGACATGTTGAAATTATTATTCCTTTAGTGTCATAGTTGATGATTCTCATCGATTTTATCTTTAGGGAAAACGTCTTCAAAGATGGCATGGGTATTCTTTACCCTTCTGTATATGTATTTTAGTCCTAGTAATAAATTGCTTGACCTTGCCACGCAGGTCTCTGGGGCTGTTTGCGTCCAACAAGTTTTCAATCATCATAGGTAATTTTCAGAGATTCTTGCCGTCAGTTAATGGTTTTCTTTCGTTTTTATATTTCCTACACTCCAGCAAATCGTGCTGTTTTTTAATGTATTTCTGTCAGAGAAATCTGAGCTGCGCATTTTGACCTACCACATCCGATTTCAGTAAACCCCTAATTAATAGTCTTTTACCACATACTTGGGGTAGTAGTGCCCCCCCCCCCCATACAAAAAAAAGGGGGATCCCGAAACCCACATAGGAAACCCACTCACTCAAGAAATGTTATGCTAAGGATATACCTGCTCTGAGATAAAATGCTCTATCTTCTGTCTCTCGACATCGCTGAAAGCTCGCCTCAGAAACGGAAGCCTCTTGTACATTCGTTGAATGTTAAATAATTTTCCAGCCTCATCTGTAGACACTTCAAATCAGAAAATAGATTATAAGGAATAAAACAAAAGTGCAATGACAATTAAATTATGTTTGCGTGTCGTCATTTAAAAACTGTCATGAACAGATATCAAACGAAACGAAAAGTAGACCTAATCAGCTTTACATTATCCTAATCACAAAAGGCAAATGAATATGACGGCTACAAAGCCTTCATGGGCACATGACATGAATAGATAATGCTACAGTTACAAACTAGTATATACAAAATCATGTAAATGGGGTATCTCTAAAACACAATCTGTTTTGCCAGTTGAATCGTTGAGATATGTGTTTAAAATACTGTATTTCCTGCCGTTGTTTATCTTTTTATTTTTAAACCAACTATTTAAATTAGTACCATAAAGTTACAACTATGGTAGGATTTTTTAAAAGAACCCTCGAAATAACAACAACAAAAAAATAGAAAGAAAAAGAGTTGATTAAATTCAAAAGAAATTGGAGGTACTAGAAGCTCTGAATTTCCTAATAAAACACCAATTGAAATGGTTCGGCCATTTTCTGGGCTGCCAACAAAGAGGATACCATAAAGAACAATGATGTATCCACCAATACTGATGACGATAACACAGATGAAGGTGATGCTATAGTTTACACAGATGGGTCAGTAATTTGGGGCAAGCGTAGTGTATGGGAATTCACAGTAAGCTCAAGGGGGAAAATCATCATTGAGATTAATGGCACCTTTGCTGTAGCCTTACAATAGAAACTACTGCTGTAACAAGGGCATTAGCATGGCTTGGTGATCAAATAGTTTACATCCGAATGCATTCTTTGTGACCCTATGATTATGCTTAAAAAAAAAATTCAAGCTGGATTTATCAGGCAAGAATGGATTGCAACCCTAAGTACATTACGAATAGTTGCCATAACCTTCATCTTTGTGCCAGGTTATGCGGGTGTTCAAGGGAACGAGGGTGCAGACCATCTTGCTGACACTGCGGTTGCTATGGCTGGTCCAGTATTGGACAGAAGTGATGTTATCAATGCCATGCGCTGCACTTACCGTACTGAGGAGCACGCCAAAGGACATGACTCCGTATCCCTGTCTAGACTGCCCGGCTAGCTAACGTAGTTGGCTCAACCCGTCTGCGCAGTGACCGGGTGACGAACTCCTTGTGGTAAGGGTTCACGACCGGGGGTAGGCAGAAAAGCCAAATTTCTCTCAGATTTACGGTATTTATCATGGAATCAATGCCAAAGGGTTGCGATATCCATAGTACCGAGCCTAAGGGTTAACAACTCATGGCTTCTGGATACTAAAAAAAAAAAAAAAAATCCCTGTCTAGACTGTTTTACATCGGGGTGCAGCCTGGAGCTGCAAAAAATGAACATTTCACTAAGGGGACAAGAGGTTTCATTACCCAATACAGAAAAGGCGCCCTCGGTCGTTTTATACTTATGGAGCTTTTGAGGAGGAGATAGGAGCATCTATGGATCTGTCCGGAGTGCTGTGATGATAATCCGTTCTAATCACTAATCAGTGATGTATCCACCAAATAAGTACTGAAAGAGAGGCCGATTATGTAAACGATGGATATCGGAAATAACAGTCCATGAGAATCCTTACATAACAAATACATAAGCTGTTGCTCTCCCGCGGTTTATAAGGGGTGTTTGTAAAGTTTCATTATACTCCATACGTATAAGAATTTTTTTTAAATACGAAACACATAACGTCATTTTAAAATATGCTTTAAAGGTCACCAAATTAGTTACAATAGTTACTGCTATGGTGTAACACTGCTATGGGAAAGCTGGAAAGTGCCAATGAAAAAAATTCATTAAAACAGATGTTGGAAATTTCTACAACGGACTTTAGGGCATGACTGTACACGTCTCTTCATATTGTCAAAAACCTGCTACAACGTATCTGTTGTTATTTCTTGAACAGTAATTGGGATTGCTTCTTTCAGGTCCACAATTATGTGTACATTATTTTTGTTAAAATTTCTTATCAAGAAACCCCATAGATAATAATCTAATGGAGCTTGATCTGGGAAAACGAGCAGGCCAAATTCCATATGATATTATGCGATTTGCGAAAATGTCGAAACATTTCAATCAAACAATTTCTTTCTTCCTTTACTCCAGCACAGTCCTTCACTGCATATTGCTTCACGTCTGACTGTGAAAGTAAGAAAGTAAGTAAAGGACCCTGTTTTATGCCTTCAGGCATATTGGGCATATAGGGTTAGACCTATATTTTATAGACCAATCGGCACTGGGTGGGTGATGAGGTCAGTATCATGGCGGCCGACATTATTTTCCAGGACTGCATTTGGTACCCACTCAAGACTGGGTCGACCTGGAGCCAAGGTCATTTTTGCAGACCAAATAAAAGTCCGGCTTCGTCAGGATCCGAACCCACGACCTTCAGCAGGCATGCATCAAGCGGCTACACCACAGCGGCTCTCTAAGACTGACTGTTGAGCATATTTTTTTATGACGTCGGAAATTTTTTTTTTTCAAATTTTTTTTTAACAAACAAAGGGTAGTGAGATTTTACAAATACCCTGAACTTCAACTTGACACTGTAAAGTGCAAGATGACCAAAATTTAAAAAAAAAATAATCTAATCATACCTCAGAATGGTTGAAAAAGATGCCTCTATTAAAATTACTATTGCTAGAGGTAGCATAGCGGTTTTCCTATTACTCGTTCTTTAGAGGCATAGATGGCTAGGATACACTTTGAGGATGGTTAAGTGGGCATCCTCTATCGTGGATTACAGATAGGTAGAAGATGTCCAGATCAGCTATTACTATGACATAAAGATTGTGTAACGGAACATGAATGATACATGTATTGATGTGGATTCGTCCGAACAAGATGCATGGACAGTGTTGCATGGAGAGAAAAAAAATTGCACTTGAGAACTAACTCACGACCTTCATAGCGAGAGGAAAACGGCTTTACCACTTCGCCACGGAAATTCCCTTCCCCCCTCCCCCTTTTTTAAAAATTTAGTTTATTCCTATATGAAAATTTAGTTTGATATTCGTCCTATTCAATATTTCTCATGCCCTTAGGAACGGATTACTGACGAATATTGAAGTTCCACTGTACTACTAT